GTTGACTAAAGTCGAATCACTTTCAACAAGCCATAACTCTTTTCCATTTCCACGAGTATGTCGATTATTATTAGATTGGCAATTGGGAAGGTTTTGATGATGCAAGAGCCGATCGACTTTTAACTTGTGCTCGCCTATTTTGTCAACCACTATACTACGTACACGACATATAAATATTGTTGATTTTTCATGACATAAAAGAAAGTCACCAGCTTTACAAATTTCTAAAAAAATATTAAATATTTAATTTTTTTTTTTATGTAAAGATCTATAAAATATATATATATACAACCTTGATTATTAAGTTTTATTTTGTATTTTCCAAATAAAGGAGAATCTTGCCAAAGATCACCATGCCAAAACTCATACTTTTCCTCTTCGATTATACCTGGTCCAAAATACATTTTTGATACAAGCGTTGGATTATTGAGTATACGCTTCAAATATACCAATGGAGATATAGTAAATGTTTTTTTGATAGATACAACTGTGGATGGTGTTTGTTGTTTATAGATAGGAATATTATGCTGATATACTTTAAGTAAAGGTAATCTGCTTCTCCATTTACAAATGCGTCGAATGTTTTTGACAACTTCTTCCTTACAATAGTTAAAATGTGTAATAATTTTGACAAGATCTTCATATGCAGTAGTCGCTATATAAGAAAGGTAAATATTATTAGTATATTAGTATATATATTAAGAATTTAATTTTTATTTACATACATATCATATGCTTTGTAATCCATATAAATAACATCATTGATGTAAAATTCAGAAGGTATGGTCCATATTCACTATCGAAACCTTCAAATTCAAAAGACTCTTCTTCTAACACATCATCTATCAACTCTTCTTCTAACATATTATCTATTGAATCTTCTTCTAATATATCATTTATCGAATTTTCTTCTAATATATTATCTATCAAATCTTCTACAGTATCCAGCAATGGCGTATCTACTTGATTTTCTTAAAATATTTGTAAGAATTTATTATTATAAATA